ATATTGTTTACCTCTTATCCCCCGAGCCTATTACAGCACCTGGTGCACAGTGAACATATGATTAACTGAATAGCTAACGCTCATGCACCTAGAAAATGCACAGTCGACCTTTTAACTCCGGCCTTTGTACCTGGCTGATAAACACCTCAGTCAGCTCTGTGTGTGTGTGTGTGTGTGTGTGTGTGTGTGTGTGTGTGTGTGTGTGTGTGTATGTTTGTGTGTGTGTGTCTGTGTGTGTCTGTGTCTGTGTCTGAGTCTGTGTGTACAGTTGTGACAGGAAAGGCACTGAGGCAGGAGCAATGAGGCTGCTGGTCACATCTACAGTCAGGAAGCAGAACTAGATGAAAGCCTAAGCTCAGCTCATAGCATGGTGCCGCCCATATTCAGTGTGAGCCTCCTACCTCAATTAACTCAGTTTAGAAACCTCCTCATAGACATGCCTGAAGGTTTATCTCCTAGGCGGTTCTAGACTGTCAAGTTGACAAGTAGTACTAAATGTCACATAGCCAGAACTGACTAAGACATCTAATATTATACCATAACTTTCATTATTTTCTTTCAGTATGAACCCTCAAAATAACGTAAAATTAAAAATGTAAAGTCCTGACTATAATCCTGGAGATACAATTTATTTTCTCTGCTTTTCTGTTGTTGTTGTTGCTTGGTTTTTTTGGAGACAGGTTTTCTCTAGCTGTCCTAGAACTCACTCTGTAGACCAGGCTGGCCTGGAATTCACAGAGATCCACCTGCCTTTGCCTCCCAAGTGCTGGGATTAAAGGTGTGGGAACCACCACCCAGCACAATTTATTAGTATGATATGAGAGAGGTACAATTGAGATTCAGAGAGTTTAAATATTTACCTTAAGTAACAGAACTTATGGGAATCAAATTCATATCTGTAACTCCAAAGTCAGTTTAAAGACTTTTATAGTAAATTTGACTATGCCATCTAATTGATTTGGATTGATTACTTCTAAATCTAGAGTTTATGGTAATGTTTGCACCAGTAGAACACTTCTCTCATCACAACTTCATATTTAAACTTTAAATGATACACAAGTATAGAGTCAAATTTCTTCACAAAAAGAGCAGCAAGTATTAATGGCTATGTGTAGCATGTGGAAATACTGGTGCCCTCATATGCTGTTGTTTGGACTGTTTATAATACAGGTGCTATGAAAAACAATCTGCCAGTTCCTTAGAAAGTTGAAGTGTGCCAGGTGGTGGTGGTGGTGGTGGTGGTGGTGGTGGTGCACACCTTTAATCCCAGCACTCAGGAGGCAGAGGCAGGCAGATCTCTGAGTTTGTGGCCAGCCTGATCTACAGAACAAGTTCCAGGACAGCCAGGGCTACACAGAGAAACTGTGTCTCAAAAAACCAAAAGGAAAAAAAAAAGTTGAAGTGCTATTATTGTATGATCTAGCTATCTGTATCTTGCTGTGGAATAATCCTTTCGTATACTGTGAATATGAATTACTCTCACTGGCTTAATAAAGAACCAACCGACCAACAGCTAGGCAAGAAGAGGTTAGGCGGGAGAGCCAGACTGAAGGGACACTAGGGAAAAGAAAGGTGGAGTCATGAGCCAGCAGAGGAAGCCGGAGATGAACATGCCGTGCTGCAAATGGGTACCGCCACGTGGTAGAGCGCAGAGAGGAAATATGGGTTAATTTTAGTTGAAAGAGCTAGTTAGTAACAAGCCTAAGCTGTCGGCTGAGCATTTATAATGAATAATAAGTCTCCGGGTCATTTATTGGGGAGCCGGAGATCCCAACGAAAAACTTTGCCTACAATATCTAGTATATGTCTAAGAAATGAGAACGTATGTCCACACACAACTCATAAATGAATGTTCATAGCATACTATTTATAATAACCAAGACATGAAAGTAGTCCAACTGTCTATCAGCTAACAAATGGATAAAGAAAATGTGGTACATCCATGGGATGGAAAACTATTCAAGCATTAAAAGGAGTGAGGGCTGGGCTCATTGTTAAAAAACAAACAAACCTAGAAAACCTGGTTCAGTGAAAGAAGCTAGACACAAAAGATCGTATATTATATGATCCCATTTTTATGAAGTGTCCAGAATGAGCAAATCTATAGAGACAGAAAGTAGATTTATGATTAAAATTGCTATTTTTGTTTTGCTTGTGTGTGACCTATCTACTGACATAATATTACCACAATGCTCCATCCTCATATCTTTTGAAATCTGGAGAGTCTCTGAATCTCTGAGACCTTAGTCCTTGGGGAAACTTGAAATTCCAAACAAAACAAGAAGGAGTCCTTGATGAGATACCAAGGAACATTCTAAAGAACTAAAAGATCTGGAATCAGGCTTCAATTTTGAGAGAAGACTGGGACATAAGGTAGTACTTACTATATTGGTGTAGGAAAGTTTTTCTACATTGGGATATTTGTTATTTGTCCTATTCCTAATATTTAAATATATATATATATATGTATATATATATATCTGTCCTATACCTAAAATTTGAAAAAAATCCAAAATCTAAATATACCCATTTTATTATATCAAATATGTGCTACCAAAATTTTCTAAATGCATTCCCTTTTTACAAGATAAGAAACAAGATGGTGTAGTGGGTAAGGGTGCTTGCTGCCAAGTCTGACAATTTGAATTGTATCGCCACATGTAAAAGAGAAAATGGACACCCACAAGTTGTCCTTTGATTCCACACATGCTCACACACACACATTCACGCAAATAAGACAAGTAAACAAATGTAAACAATTTCCAGGCTGGGTACAGTAGTGGACATTTGGACTAAGAAGGCAGAGGCAGGTAGATCTTTGTGAGGAAGAGACCAGCCTGATTCATTATATAGGGAGCTCCAGACCAGTCAGGGTGCCTATGAGACGCTGCCGTTAAAAGAGAAATGGGAACAGTCTACAGCTCTCTGTAGTGGACTCCTATGCATGAGCAGAGCGTGCACAAGTTATAACTAATGACAGAGGGCTAATGCAGAAAGAGATGCCTTATGCTTAGAGGAGTTTAGAACTGTAAAGCTTTTTTTTTTTCTCTTCTTTCTTGAGACAGTGTTTCTCTGTGTAGCCCTGGCTGTTTGAGAACTCATTCTGTAGACCAGGCTGGCCTCAAACTCAGAGCTGCGCCTGCATTTGCCTCCCAAGTGCTGGGATTCAAGGCATACCACCAACAACTAACTCAGAACTGTAAAGAATCTTAAGATAACTTAGGAAAGCATAGGCACTTTCTTGTTTTGTTTTGTTTTTTTTTTTTGTTTTTTTGAGACAGGGTTTCTCTGTGTAGCTTTGCGCCTTTCCTGGAACTCACTTGGTAGCCCAGGCTGGCCTCGAACTCACAGAGATCCGCCTGGCTCTGCCTCCCGAGTGCTGGGATTAAAGGCGTGCGCCACCACCGCCCGGCCTCTATTTCTGTTTTACACACCTTATGTGTGTGGTATGCATGTGTGTGGATGCACCACCATCGCCCGGCACTTTCTTGTTTTGAAGATGACTAAGGCCTATAGAATTTCATAAGGTTAATATATCCAATGACAAAAAGAAATGGTAAATGTACTAATCAATAAATCAGGAACCTTGGTAATTTTTTTTGTTTGTCTAGTTGGTTTTTGTTTTGTTGTTTTGAGACAGTCTCACTATGTAGCCCTGGTCAACCTGGAATTCACAGAGAGCCACCTACCTCTGCCTCCTGAGTGCTAAGATCAAAGGCATTTTCCAACATGGCTGGCCCCATCCACATTCTTTGCAATCTAGCTTCCCTAGTTGCTAGCAGTTCAAGGAGGTGGGGGTTGGAGAGTAGAATAGCAAACTCAAGAACCTTTTGCCAAGAGCATCAGACTATTATTCTTGACATACCAGATTCTCCTGTTGGACCTTGCTGAGCTCAAACCTTTCATTATTAGCTTCCTGTATGCCTTGACAGCTGTACACTATGTTAACTGACTACAGAGTTATATTTTTGCCACGGGAAAGAAAACCAACTTGCTTTTTGTTGTTGTTTTGAGACAGGGTCTCTTTACCTACCCCCGACTGTCCTGGAACTCACTATATAGATCCATCAGGCTTCCAACTCACAGAAATTCATCAGTCTCTGCCTCCAGAGTGCTGGGATTAAAGGTGTTGGATATCACACCTGGCCCAACTTGACTTTTGAGAATAAGAAATTGTATTTCTCAAAGTCTTAAAAGAAAATTTTATTTCCTTGAGATAAGACTACTGTGGCTCATCAAACACACACACACACACACACACACACACACACACACACACACACACGTCATAGTTCTTTGCTTTTGGCTGGAAACATAACTTGGGATGGCTTTTAGTTTTAACCATACTACAAATACAGGAAGCATTAGCATGTAGTTTTATTTTTAAGATTGATCAATAACTGTCACAATCTTTACTAGAAAGGGTAGATGTGATATAACTAGGTTTCAGCTGGTAAAGTTAAAAAAGTTAGAAAATACGATACTTATAAATGCAATTGTGCACGATAAGAGATAATTTAAGTTATGGGAGCCCCGAGCAAAAAAATAGTAAAATGTGTTGAATTTGCAAACCACATGGCATTGTGACATTACTAAATTAAACATAGGCTACTGTGGATTTTAGATACTTTGGGTCACCACAAAGCTCTGGCTCGGGTCTCTATAAAGAAATTTTAGGAAGTGAAGAAAATGGTGGCAGAGATTTCTACAAGGACAGAACACTTGACGCTATTTTTTTCCTTAGATGAAAATGAGATTGTTTTGAGCTGTTGGGGGTGGGAGGGATGGAATACCATGCACAGTTCCACGCAAATGCGCTGTGGGAGAAATGAAGTAAAAAGGTGAGAACATAACAGTTTGTAAATGGGAAACGAGTTATTAAGCAGGAATGCAAACATCAATTTTTCATTCATAAAGACGATTAGGGAAAAATACATATATTTCTTTTGAAACTCACTTGAATAATAGAAAAATGCAACTAAATAAACAGAAGTACTTACCCTCCCAAGGGAAGATGAGGTCTTACTAAGGTGGCTAGTACCGTGCCAAATGTTTATAGAGTGCCGACTGAGAGGTGGTGCAGCTACATTAGCATTTACTTTTATCGTTAAGGTGACGCAGGAATTGTCACTGCAGCTTTTGATAATCGGACGTGGCTACTCAGGGGGGTCTGTCCAGCCTCCGGAGGCTGCATTGCAGAGGGGCGTGCCGAGCCTTTCCGCAGCAGGAGGGACCCCCCCAGAGAACACGCAGGGCCAGGCTAGTGTTTTAGGCTGGGTTTCGGAGGCGCTGGGGTCCAGCCGCTGCCACTGGTGCGGAACGTCCCGGCGCTAGGACAGCGGCTCCCCTACGGCGATCGAGAGACTGCGGCTCTGGAGCGGAGCCCCAGGCCGGCAAGGGCCGCTAGGGGCCAGGTCCGCGTGGGCCGCTCTGGCCCTCCGCTCGTCTCGGTAGCCCCCTCTCCCCTCCCGCTGCCGTGGGTGGGAGGGTGAGGACGCAGGCGGCGCGCGTGCGCGCTCCGCGCTGCAGCTAGTCTGCGTGCGTGAGTGGGAGGCGGAGGGCCTGCGACTCTGGCCTTCCCGGCTGACTGCTCCGACGCCGCATCGCCAGTCATGAACCGGTTCGGCGCCCGGTTGGTGGGAGCCGCGGCGACCCCGCCGCTGCCGCCGAAAGCCCGCAGCAATGAGAACCTGGACAAAATCGATATGTCCCTGGGTGAGGGGCCGGGGCGGCCGCGGTCGCGGTGGGGGGAGGGGGCGGGAGTCGCGGTGGGGGGAAGGGGCGGTTGGCCGCGGTTGCCGGTCGGGTTTGGTCGCGCGTGGGCGGGACCGGTGGGGACCCCCGAGGTGGGGCGGGAGACACCCCCGCGTGCCCACCCCGCGCGGGGTAGGGAGGGGCGGTGGCGAGGACCGGTCGGGCCGCGCGGCCCCGCAGGGTCGGCGGGTGCTGTCCTTTTCCCACGCGGGACGCGGTCTCTCGGGCCACGGTTTCCCTTGGGCGTGTTGTGCGCACCCCTCGGCCTTTTCCTTACGACGGGTCTTCAGACCCGGCTAGGGCTGCGACCGGCTAAAGCCGGCGGCTGCGAGAAGGGTTTGCCTGGCGTGACTGCCCAGACAGGCGCCGGGAACCGGCGATTTCCAACCGGCGGCCCCCCCTGGGAACGCCGGGGTTTGGGGACGCGGTCCCGGAACGGGGCGCTCTGAGCATCGTTAAGCGAGCACCGTATTGCCGTGTTGGATCAGGTGTTTACTGAAGCATGTTCCCTAGCCGGGTTTCAAAGTTAGCCAGTTGGGGGCGGGGAGGGAGAGATGTACGCAGATTGCTGATCTGTCAGGTAGAAGGAAAGGGGTCCAGCACACATAAAAAGGATGCCCGTGGTGGCTGCTGATTATGTGGGTTTTTTTTTTTTTAAAAGCATGATGACTGGTTTTTATTTTCGTAAAAAATTCAGATCCAACACTACGAAGGCTGTTTGTTTGGCTTAGCAGGTACAAAAGTAATTACATTTTTTTGTAGAACCAAGTTATGGCATTGGATGAAGTCAGTGCTGCCTGTTTTTTTTTTTTTTAACTCTTTATGGGTCTTTTCTCTCCACCACCACCCCTCTTTGATATATTAAAAAAATAAAATAAAATACCTTACTACCGAATTCAGGTGTGACCTTTTTTCTGAGGATGGTATTTAGGGTAATACTGTGCCTGGAAACATTCTTTTGCTTGCTAGTTCTTTACATTCGTGTTATCTCTTCTGTTAATTTGGAAAGTTTTTGATACGCAGTTGAGAACTCTTTCTTGGTTTCTAGGGTTGCCTCAAGTCAGAACCTAATGTTTGAATTAGAAAATTAATAGGAATATGTTTGGCCTCTAGTCTGACGCCACTGCTGATCAGTAATGAACTCCAAAAAAAATGAGGATAGCTTTGGAGCGAAAGCCATGAATCCGTATAACAAAGGTTGGATGCTTACAGGCTGCTAGGCAATGGACTAAACATTTAATATACATTTAATTTCCTAATAACCTCACAAGCGTTGTGCTCCTAGTGATAGGTAATCTAGAGCCATACTATTTCAGGGGACCCTGCTTCTGACACTTCTAACCTCGTGACTATGGACAAATTACTTGTTAGTGCTTGTCTTAAAAGGTGGTGGTGGGGGCTAGAGAGATCGCTCCGTGGTTAACAGCATATTCTGTTCTTGCGGAGACCCAAAGTTCGGTTCTCAGCACTGACTTTTGGCAGCTTGGCTCACAACTTCCTGTAACTCCAGTTGCAGGGATCCCATTCTCTCTTTTGGTATCCATAGATCCCGTGCTTACATGCACAAACGCACAATCATACACACATAATTAAAAATAAAAGTCTAAGAAAGGTGATAGTAATTACCTAGAGATAGCTGGTTCTCTCCTGCCATTGGTTCACCAGGCTTTTGCCCACTGAGCCATCTTGTGTTTTTAGTGTGTGGATGTGCTGTAGGTGCTCTGTGTGTGGATGCCAGAAGTTGGCATCTGGTGTCGTCTTCAGTCTCTGTCTACCTTTATGAGGCAGGGTCTCTTACTGAGCCTGAAGCGCATCCATCTGCCTAACCTGGCTGGCCAGCATGTATCAGGGGTCCCATGTCTACTTCCGCACTGCTGGGATTACAGACATGTGTCACAGCGCTCAACTTTGTATGCGGGTGCTGGGGGTCTGAATTCAAGTCTTCATGGTTGTTCGGTAAGCATTTTACCGACTGAGCCACCCCCCAGCCCCTTTTGTGTGGAGTTTGTTTGATAGTTAGGACATCAATTAAAGAGGGCTGATTCTTTAAGTAGAAAAAAGGTGCTGTGAAGAGCTGAGACACAGCTGTCTTTCCTCAAGAGTCCGTCAGTCTGCCAGGTGCTTTTCTTTTAGTGAGAATCTTAGAGACTTGTGATGAAGAGATGGTTTGTCTTACAGGTCTGCAGAACTTTGAGAGTATGTAGCTGGGTTTGATGAGACACACCTTTAATCCCTTCAGAGAAGCTGAGGCAGGCAGATCTCTGAGTTAGAGCCCAGCCTAGTCTATATAGCAAGTTCCAGGCCAGCCAGGGCTGCATAGTGAGACACTCCCTCCCCCTCCAAAAAAAAACTAGTTTTCTTTCTTTTTCTTTTCTTTTTTTTTTTTTTTTTTTTTTTTTTGGTGGCTCTACTGGATTTATATATGAGAACTTATGTAGAGTATCTACTAAGTTAACTAGTAACTGACATTGGCTCAGTTTCTTAATTTAAAAATTAATATTGTGACCCTTTTTTCATAGGATTGTTGTGAGGATAATTGAATACACTATAATTATCTCAGAGACACACGTACAGTGCCCTGGAAGAAATGTTTCCTTTTGTTAAAAAAATGATTTATGTGTATGAGTGTTTTGCCTACAGATGTCTGTGCACCACGTGAGTGCCTGGTGCCTGTGGGAACCAGAAGAGGCCGTCAGATCCTCTGGAACTTGAGTTGTAGCCTATTATAAGCTGCCATGTGATCTCTGGGAATTAAACCAGGGTTTTCTGGAAGAGCAGCAGCAAGTGCTCTTAACTGCTGACCCATTCTCCAGCCCCAGAAGAAACTTTATAAAGTAGTTCATTGTAATGGATCTTTTTCTTCTAGTACTTACCCTGTATACTCATTGGGTAAGAGAGGCCATTTTCTCATTTCATATCAGAAGATTTTGTCTGAGGACTTAGATAATAAAATGTTTTTCTATTTTTAATTTTTAGTTGTAGCAAGAATTGTGTTATACACCAGTAATCTAGCATTCAGCACTCTGGAAGATGAGGCAAGAGGATCATGAGTTTGAGGCTAACCTGGGCCACAAGTGAGACCTTGTCTCAAATTAATTTCAGCTATATTTACGTTGTATGTGCTCTGTGTAAAAATTGTCCTGGTATGCTGAGCAATGTGGCACATGCCTCTAATCCCAGCACTTGGAGTTAGAGTGAGATAAGTTCCAAGCCAGTCTGGTCTATGAGTTCAAGGACAGCCAGGGATATGTAGTGGGACCTTGTCTCAAAAACAACAACAAAATTACACTAGTAGTCAAAACCAACACCTTTTTTGCCCTAATCTCCTGACCAGATTCATTGTTTGGGTATATTCTCAAAGCTTTGAGGTTGTAGATGTCTACTGAAAAGTAAATAGTCACCTATTAAGGGAAAACAATGTTTCCTGTTTTCCTCTTAATGAGAATTTAATAAGTTCATATATATATATAGCTGATATTTATGAAACCTTTTGTTTTAAACCTAATGTTAGGGTTTAAATTAGTGTCTCCCAAAAGGCTCCTATGTTGAAGGCTTAGTTCCCCAGCTGGTGGAGCTACTGAGAAGAGATTGAGTCACGAAGGCAATGATGCCCTAGCTGGATTAGACATTGATAAGTTCATAACTGGGTTATTTAGGAAGGGCATGGAGGGGAAAGTTGACTGCCTCCTGACATCCAGGAAAAGGAGAAGAAGGCCCTGCCCTTCAAAGGAACACTGTCAGTAACCTGATTCCCCCTATGGTAATAAACTTGGGCCATTAGGCCTGGAGGTAGGTTCCTTTATTTATGGAGCCCTCTCCCTGGCACCAGATAGTTTTGAATGAGTATATTGTTGGCTTCTGGTAACCTTTGGCACTTAACAAATAAGAATTTGAAATACCTTTAGTTTTCTCATCTTTACATTGTTCACTCTGGTATTAACACAGTGTAGTGTTTATGAATTTTTCTGAGGTGGTTTTGGAAATAATGAAGCTTACAAAATTAGAGAGGTCAGAATAGAAAGAAGTAATTATGAATGACTTTGCTAGAGAAGAACAGAACCATAATACCATACCTTTATGATGATACTTGTTAATTTTGCTTGCTATTTGCATGCCTATTTTCATAAATAATTTAAACTGTTGAGAATGGGGTTTGTCTTAAACTTTGTTTCCTTTATGGTAGACTTACACATGTATTAATTGCATAAAGTGTACACCCAATAAATGTTTTCTGAATTCAGGTGAATGTAGAAATTTTGTCTTTTGAGGTCTTTGTTGCTGTTTTTGAGTTGGTTGGTTGTGTCTTTTTGAGAACCTATGCCTACCTCTAACTCAATATGTAGTCAAAGCTGGCCTTTGAACTCTGATCCTCCGGCCTCGACCTCCTTTTGCTAAGATTACAGGCATGTGCCACCATGCCCAACAGCAAGAGTATACATTTTGTTGTTGTTTGTAGTACTGGGATTTGAACCCAAGGCCTTATATGTTCTAGGCAAACGCTCCTACTGAGCTGAATCTACCTGCTGTCTGTCTCCTCGGCAGAACTTATTAGTTGGTAGATCCGCTTTTGTCTATTGATTGGAACTTTACTAGAGAAAGTTTTCTCAAGCATTTCATCAGGTAGAATGGCTGATTGAAGCTTAGGATGAGGGAAGAGGATTGGGGTCTAGGTAGCCTAAGC